CCTTTTTCTCACACACACTTATTACCGGTAAAGATGGCAATTCTACTTTCTACAGTTCCCTTTGTTGTTCGAATGAGGCTTGAGCAACAATAGTTGAACAACAGCGAAAAGTTTTAGAGGTGGTAAAGCTTGCTCGGTTTTTTGCTTTTAGTTTTACCATTTCTCACCATCATCATGTGCTACTACCTTCGCAAGGCAAGGGCCGAAAGAAGACAGCTGAAGTTGAAGCTGAAGTTGACGACGACGCCGCCCCCTAATCAGTCGGCAGTTGGCCTGAGAAGTCCCAGCAGTCCAACAACTATTTCCACCCCGCCTTCAGCCGCCTTCGCCGACCTCTCCCGAACTGCCAAGGCGGACCTACCTGAGGAGTCGGTGCGGACGATCCGCCTGCCGGTGGGCTCTCTGGCGCCTCTCGAAGAGTCACACTACTTTAGGTGGGCTCCAGGAAGAGGAGTAGGATTCATCGGCAAGTCGATGCGAAAGTTGCAGTCCACCATCAAACGGGCTCAGGAGAAGAAAAGGAGGAAGGGGGAGGGGGAGGAGGGAGGAAAAGTGGCCATCAAGTCAACAGCAGTAGTGAACAAGCAGACAATTCCTTCAACCTACTCTTTCTCTGGCTACCGTCACCCTAAGATCCCTTCGAAAAGCTCCAGAAGATCTTCAGTGACTGATGATAACGAAAGCCCTTCACTGTCCTCTGACGACGACGATGATCACCACCACCAAGCGCCTCAAGAGCCTCTAGACTCAAAGACTGAAGAGCCACTGCCCAGTCTGCGTGAGAATCCCATCGTCATCACCACCTTGACACCTTCTTCTTCGAAGGCCATTGCTAAACTACCGAGCAAGCCACCGCCTCTTTTTCAAAACAGCGTCTTTGCACAGGCAGCTGCCTCTCAAGCGGCGGCCTCGGCAGCCAAAACAAAAAATTGGAACTTTGACAGCAGCAAATCAGCAGCCACCGCCAGCCGAGGTCTTCAGCAGCTGGCGGCGTCCATGAGCATCAACAGCGTCCACAACAATAACAAGAACAACCGACTGGTGGGCGAGGACAGTCTTCGGCTGGAGGCAATGCCCGCCGAGATAGAGCCCACGGTGAAGAGCAGTCTACGCTGAGGTGAGCTAAGCGGAGCTGTGAAAATGGGGCCACATGTGAAACTAAATTCTAAATTCTTAAAAAGTAAACTCACACTCCAACTATAACTTCACTTTGGCCATTTATGCAGTGAGCAGCGAGCTGAGTAGACTTTCTTTCGGTTGTTGTTCTTGTTCTTAGTATTACCGTTTCCTTCTGTGCAACTCACCACCACCACCAGCTCAACTCTTTACTCTTGACTTCACACTTGCTGTTATCGTTTCCCATCTTTTTCCTCCGCTTCCTTTTGATGCCTTTCTCAGTTGAGCCCTTCACCTGGCACCTCGCCCTCCTCATACCGGTGGGCGTTCTGCTGATGCTGCTGGGCTTCCTCCTGCTCGCCCAGTGCGCTTTTCTCGACAAGGCTGAGAAGCCGAAACCGAAGCAGTCCAAGAAAGCGGGCGGGCCAAAGGAGGCTAAGTCTGGTAAAAGCAAAAAACAGCAGCAGCACCAGAAGGACAACAACAAAGCAATCCGATCTACCGTCGGCTCCGCCGTTGGTTCGACCAACTCCAGCACCGGCCTGAAAGGGTCGAAGAGTCAGCTGAAGAACGCTGGACAAAGCTCTGAGGGCCTTGGCAAGAGTAAAAGTACTGTTGGAGCCGGCGTGGGGCCTAACCGGCCCAAGTACATTCCACCGCCACCTCCACCGGGCGGCGGCGTTCGACTGCTCCCACCGAAAGCGTCGGCAAATGAGAAGCAGTCGGCGAGAAAGTCAGATGATGTCGGTGTTATCAAGGTGGGCGGTGGTGGCGGCGGCAAGGCTCCTGGAAAGATCATCAGCGATCTGAAGGTGGGCGGAGGCGGAAAGAAGCAGCTGAAAGACAACAACATCAACACAGCCGCTGCCGGCAAAGTGAAGGCAAAGTCGCAGCTGGCACAGAAGAGTTCCGCTGGAGGAATGAAGATACTGGCGAACAAGTCGAGCACTTTTGCCGACTCCGAGGAGGTGGAGTTCAAGACGGAGCTTTTTGACGTGGAGCCCTCCGGAGGAGCCTGAACTTGAGGGTGACCCTCTCTCCATATTTTTAAAAGGGCCTAAAGCCATGCACTCATCCTCTTTCGAAGCACACCTCCTTTTTGTCTACTCTGCCCAGCTCTTCTTTTTTGTCTGTTTCAATAAAATCCCTTTTGATTAATTTACTTTTTGGCAAAGGCTGGCGAGGTGTGACCTTGGTTAATGAGAGCCATCAAAGGTGCCATCGAATCCGAAATCCTCAGGAATAAAGAAAATGAGTTTTTAAAAACGAAAACTACAGTCTGTCCCGCTAGAAGGCGCCTAGTGATTTGTTTTGATTTAAAAAACTGATGAACATTTTGCATCAGCGAATTCTTCGGCTTCAAAAAGTTGGTGAAACCAGATGACATGAAACTGGTGAACACCACTGTCTCCTACTACTTCAGCTCCGGCGTCGATGAGCCCATGTAGGTCCTAAGGTCCGCGACGTTTGACTTGAAGAGCTTGCACTTTACCGTCTCCATGCCAAGGCGTTTGCAAGCCTCAAAACGATGACATCCACCGAAGCTGAAGTAGTAGTTGCCGCCCTCAGAGCCGGTTATCCACATTACGTCGATGGGCGGAATGTTCTCGGGATGCTCCTGTTGACGGGATCAGTTTTTGTAAGTTCAGTTTTTAATGTCACAGTTTAAAGATCTCTTTTTTACCTTGTAGGTTTGCATTAGGCTTTCCACTTTTGCCTCGTCCAGCAGAGGCGGAATGGGTCGTTTGATGAAACCAATGGGCACTTCGTAAATTTCAGCAATGTGCGACGAGTGAATACTCGGCCGACCTTTATTCTGTTCTGCAGCCATCCTGGACGTCGTGTACAGCGATCTCAACTGAACTGAAGCAAATGATTTGGCGGCGCTTACATAGGCTCGAAACGCTTTCATGTGTGCAACTGAAAGAGCAAAAGCCATTTTATTAGGTTTGAGTTTTTGTTCCACTTGTGCGGCTTTGTGGTTCCAACTGAACCAGTGTACCCGTACAAGTATTCTAATGTATTACATTTGTCTGCCTCCCTCTCTAGAGTCAATTTGGTTAATTGTGTCGCCGCTTTTCCCTCCCGCAGTGCCGAATTGTTGCAGCTCTTTTGTTCCTTTTGGAAGCTGTTGGAATAGAAGAAAAGGAGAGAACAAAAATCAGTGAGATCGACCACGAGTTACTACTACAACCACTTGTCAGTGCCACTTTTAGTTGGCCTCTCTAATACTTGACGTTCCATTCAATCGGCACATAGCCAGCAAACATCGGCTCAACTGTGTACCCGAGCACTATCATTGCCCTTTGCAAATGCCAATGGCTCTTCTCACTGTTATGCTCTGCACTATCTCTCACCCTCAATGTGCACACTTGTGCGTCCGCTTCTTGCAAGTTATCATCCCCTTCTATATTGTATGACTCTACCTCAAACTCAATCTTTTAGGTGAGCAACAACTACTGAGTAGGTTGTTTACCGCAACCGAGCAAAAAAGAGAGTCATCAATTAACACATATTTTGATAATTTTCAATTTACAGTTTTTGGCATGCTGCTGATCTCTCTGTCTCTCTTTTTGGGTCAAAGTTGTCAATGGAAACGAACGTACATGGTGGGCTATCAGCAGACTAATACTGATGTGTGGATGTGTTTGGGTAGATGGCTGATAGGATGACGTCAGTGGTGGTGGNTTTCTCTGTCTCTCTTTTTGGGTCAAAGTTGTCAATGGAAACGAACGTACATGGTGGGCTATCAGCAGACTAATACTGATGTGTGGATGTGTTTGGGTAGATGGCTGATAGGATGACGTCAGTGGTGGTGGAACGCATCCGCGTATCGAAATTGAATGTGGCCATCAGTGTTGCAAAACTTGGCAGTACGGATGGGCAAAGTTTGCAGTGGTACACCAAAGGCCACTTGACCGTCTTTTTGGTTGCGGTAAACAAAGCTGATGACATGCACCAAGAAAAGAGAGAGCTGATGATACTGATGCACTGAAACTACCACCACAGTTTAACCTTAGACGAGGACGGAAAGAGATAGAGAAAGAAAGAAAGAGAGGCTTTGTGGTTGTTGCCAGAAGAACTGACTTTCAGCCATTCTCTTTCAACTGCGCCTGACCACAGAGCTATTGCACTCTCTAGCCAACAACTTCCTGGCCGCCCATTTCCTCCATTTCGAAATGCTTTCTGCCTATTCAAAAAGTATCCCCACGGCAACAGTAATCAAAAGCTGCTTCCTCAAAGCATTCAGCCCAATCAAACAGCAAACAAGTAGTTTCAATATTGAAAGTCTGCAGACTGGCAAACAGACTGTTGTTATTTTTCATGATAAGCCGATATTTCAATGACAACCACAACAACAACAGCAGCAGTGTGTGCACAACAGAAATTTAGAAGTGCCATTTGTGTTTGTGTTTCATTGCCGCCGTCAACGTTGATCTGTTTCGGAAAATTGTTAAACTCACAATTGATTCTCTCTCTTTCTCTATGAAAACATCCGCAATCTCAACAACAGAACAACAGCGGTCATTCGTTCAGCATGACAGCCACTGTGTTTATCAATTCCTTTTTGTTGTTTTGAGACAACCACTTCTTCACTTGACTTCTGCACTTTATGTCCTCTAAAAAGCCCAATCCAAAAGTGCCTATCAAAGGGGCAGCTGTGCTCTCCAGTAAAGCTATCCATTTCTTCTAGATAAGGTAAGCAAAAGCTCAGTCTATCAGTAGTGGTAGTTATCAGCAACCAAATTGATGTCTGCAACTGTTGCCTCTCTCTCTCTCTCTCTCTCTCTCTCTCTTCATTTTAGTAAGGTCGACTTCTGTGCTCTTGTTTTTTACGCTAATTAAGAACACTGAGCTTGAGTGTGATGATTGGGGAATGAGCAGACAAAAATGCAGCATTGCATCTAATAGGCTCCCTCACTCACTCAGTCACTCACCAACCAGCCATTTTTATCAAATGGTGCCGAACTTGAAACTCAATACACTGTTGTCTGACATTGTTGAGATTGTGTCTGTTGCCGTGTGCATCCGTCTGCATTAGCATTACCAAATGCCACACTTGAACAGTTAACAGGTACAGGGTTTCTGTATGCACAGTGAAGTGCTAATGGTAATGGCACACTGTGGGTGGGTGCACTCTATTGTGCACCATATGTTAACGAACTGTGGTGCTGCTGCAGCTGATAAGGCCAGACAGACATCGTTGCTGAAGAATCTCTCCTAAGGGGGACTGCTTTATCACTGCTGCTGTGGTTATTTTCCATGACCAAGTGATGAAAGTGTGACGCCTGATTGAAGCGTTCATCGTGGCGTGGCACATTGCCATCATCTGTCATCGATCATCATCATCATCATCTTCACTCTGCTCACAATGTGCTGGTTATTATTAGCTTCACTTCACTGGTGCATTGACGTCTGCGGGCACGATTTTTTCTCTTCCCCTCTCTTTTTACCTCGACAAATGCTCAATCCCGCTTTGTGAGATTTATCTGCCCGATTCTGCTGCTGCTGCTAGTTGTAGAGCTTGTGCTTTACCGCGGTAAATGCCACCACCACCGCCAGCTGTCGTCTGGTGATCAGATGTGCGACCATCATCAGTAACGAACGACCTTGATTTTACGCTGAACGGAAAGTGCGCTGTGTTT